TGCAGTACATTTTATTTCTCAACAGGCTGTCAGCCACCACCCTTTCCCAATAAATTGTGATTTATTTTTTCTTACCTGTTCTAACCATTCTTGCATTCATTTGCCAAGGTTGTTTTTGCATCAAAATAAACTCCAAACCATTGCAAAGAAAGATTATTGCTTGAGATGGATGGATGGATGGATAGTGGATGTTATCTAATTCTTATAAGATGGCAATATGTTTATTTTTTTATTGCAATATCAAGTATGCAGTACATTTTATTTCTCAACAGGCTATCGGCCCCCACCCTTTTCTGAAAAGTTTTATCTAATTGTAATTGAGAAGGACACCAAAGGCTGCTCGATTCTTCACATGTGGCATTTGCACCTCAAGTCTGTCCAAGCAAATGCATGTTTAGGTGAGTGAAGCTCTTGCAGATTAATACATTGGAATTCATGATCTCCATAACTTTATGTCTTTCATTTGTTTTAGCACTTTTATACTGTTCCTGATCTGAAGAAAGGTCCCCTGCCCCTCCTTTTAAGTCGGACCAGGCTGCTGAAGCTCTTGTAGGCTACAGTGCAGTTGTCAACTTTAGAATGAGCATGACTGCAGCCATCTTTTTCCTTCTCATTCCTAGTTGCCACATAGCACGGAGGGAGGGGGCTTGCCAGGTGTTGCGCTAGAACCAGGGGTAGGCAACCTTGGCTCTTTTATGACTCGTGGACTTCAACTCCCAGAATTCCTGAGCCAGCCATGCTGAGGAGAAAGGGAGGTTTCCAAACTGAGCCATGCTGGCTCAAGAATTCTGGGAATTGAAGTCCACGAGTCATGAAGGGCCCATAGTTCCCCCATGCTGTCTCAGGAATTCTGGGAGTTGAAGTCCACGAGTCATAAAAGAGCCAAGGTTGTCTACCCCCATACTAGACAAAACAGACTTCCTCTCTTGGACTTTCTTCCATGGGAACCAAGGTCATCAGCTGCTCCCGAGACTGCAGGCTGGGCATTTCATGAAAAGCCCGCCAACAAGCTGAGTGGGGAAACGTAGTTGCTTGCATAGCTTTGGGGGTGGGACTTCTTAACTTTGTATTGGGGAATTGTTATGCATCTCTTCAGACTTGGCTTCACTTTTGAAGTGCCGATACTCTGTATCAATAAACATGTTCTTTGAGGAACTTGCAAGCCTTGGAGTTCTGCTTTGTTTGTCTCTGTCAATCGGAACCATGACAGCGGTGTTCGTTAACTCAAGTCAAATTGTACCCATGCTGCTACGGAATTTGTTGGCCAGGATTGTAGTCATTTGCACTTATATCAAGGGAATAAGTCTTGCTGAGCACGGCAGACACTTTAAAACCAATAATGTAAAATTATTTTGGGACCTGAATGATTACTTCTAAAAAAAATAAATTAAAAAGTCTGCCTTTGTTTCACTAAAGTTGCTTGTCCGTTATGCTTCTTGAAAGGACCATCTGCTGATGTTCATTCATTGGGACACCAGTTAACTCTTCCTGGGCAACCAGTGGCTGATTCTTCTCCAGAAACTTCATCTGGCACAATGCCAATGCTACGTTCTTCGTCGGTGGCTAACCTTCAGACAGCTAGTAAACTCATACTGAGTTCTAGCCTGGTTTACAGTTACCCCTTGGATCTGCCACCTGGGGTGGAGGTTGTACGAGCTACTCCTTCTGCAGGTAAAACAGGAGGGTGGACATAAACTGGTTAGTGATACCCTTTGTGGATGAGCGCTTGAGTTTATCAGCAAATTATGCAAATAGATTGGGAGTCGCTCAGAGTTTGTTATATGATATGAGAGGGCTATATAAATATTTAAATAAATATATTTAGCCACCATAAGCTTTTATATAAATTTATACAGCTACCAGTTTGGGGAGATTCCTGTAGAATAGGCATAGAACAATAAAGTAGCTAATTTGAACTCTACACGTATGGGTCAGTCTACTTGTTCACGTCTGACAATAGACTTGCTTTGAAGTTTGCATTCATCTAATTGTTATTCCTAATTCTAACAGTTAATCTGATTTAATTCAGGACATCTGAGCTCGTCCTCCATCTATCCTGTCTGCCTGGCCCCTTATTTGTTGGTGACGTCCTGTTCAGACAATAAAGTACGATTCTGGAGGTGTTCCCTACAGACTACAGAAAATGGCCAAGGTGGATCAAAAGAAACCTATTCCTGGAAAAAATGGCCTTTGATGAATGATGAGCAAGAAGACACCACCAGCACTGTTTGCATCGTGGGGAGACCCGTTGCAGTTAGTTGTTCTTACACTGGCCGCTTGGCCATAGCCTACAAGCAACCCATTCAGCAGAGTGGAGTTGTTTCCAAAGAATTTTCTATGCATGTGTGTATCTTTGAGTGTGAGTCTACTGGAGGATCGGAATGGGTTTTGGAACAAACCATCCATCTGGACGACCTCGTTAAAGTCGGGAGTGTCCTGGATTCCAGGGTTAGCGTAGACAGCAACTTATTTGTCTATAGTAAATCCGAAATCTTTTTGAATAAGGACCGGTACCTTATCCCAAACATCAAGCATCTGGTCCACTTGGATTGGGTTTCCAAGGAAGACGGTTCGCATATACTTACAGTCGGGGTCGGTGCAAATATATTCATGTACGGACGCGTCTCGGGAATTGTGACGGAACAAACCAGCAGCAAAGATGGTGTGGCGGTCATTACTTTACCACTCGGCGGGAGCATCAAACAAGGCATCAGGTCCAGATGGATACTTCTGAGATCCATTGATTTGGTGTCTTCGGTTGATGGCACCCCGTCCTTGCCTGTTTCCCTTTCTTGGGTGAGAGATGGTATCCTGGTGGTGGGAATGGACTGTGAAATGCATGTCTACGCTCAGTGGAAGCATGTCCTAAAATCTGGGAATGGAGAAAGCGACGGTTTTCCTCCTGATGATTCCCCCGTTACGGACCCATTCAAGGCTAGCTTGCTAGCCAAAAAAGCCAGCATCATTGACGGAGCAGGCATTGTGGATGATGTCTTTGGAACCCCCACCGTCCTTCAAGATGGCGGCCTTTTCGAAGCAGCCCACGTGCTTTCACCAACTCTGCCCCAATATCATCCCACCCAGCTTCTAGAGCTGATGGACTTGGGGAAAGTTCGCAGAGCTAAAGCAATTCTTTCCCACCTCGTGAAATGCATCGCAGGGGAAGTCGCTATCGTGAAAGACCTGGAATCTGCTGATGGGGGCTCCAAGCGCCATCTCTCCCGCACGATCAGCGTCAGTGGCAGCACGGCCAAGGATGCAGTCACCACCGGGAAGGAAGGCACGCGGGATTACACAGAGATCGATTCTATCCCACCGCTACCGTTGTACGCCTTGCTGGCAGCGGATCAAGACTCCACCTACAAAACGGAGGAAGCTCCTAAACAAACCAAAGGCCTAGAAGATCATAGTAAGAGGAAGACTGAGGATCAGTACTCCGATCTTTTCCAAGTTCAGCAGGTCACCACAGATGACTTCATTGATTTTGAGCCAGAGAGAAGAGAGCATAAATCCAGAGTGATTAACCTTTCCCAATATGGTCCAACGTACTTTGGCCAAGAGCATGCAAGTGTCCTATCAAGCCATTTAATGCACTCAAGTTTGCCTGGATTGACTCGCCTGGAGCAGATGTTCTTGGTAGCCCTAGCAGACACTGTGGCCACCACCAGTACTGAGCTGGACGAGAACCGAGACAAGCACTACTCAGGTAAATAAGTAGTCTAGTTTCTTAGGATGCCGCGTAGGTTTAGAACAGTGTTTCTCAACTCTGGATACTTTAAGATGTGTGTGTGTGTTTTTTCTTTTTTTTAATTCCTTTGAAAATGCTTCATTTTTCATCCAAGAAGCTTCTTCAGTTGTAACTAACTAGAGGGGAAGGGAAGGATTTATATTCTTTGCAGTCATCCGGTCATTAATACTCTCTCTGAGGGTCATTGAGACCACTTGCGGGTTTAATTCCCTTTTTTTTAAAGGAAAAAGAAAAAACAAACAAGACATCCAGTTGCTTTTTGGAAAAAGGACCTTGGGGACAACCATGACCTGGATGATTGAGAATCTCCATAGTCCTTTAAGATGTGTGGGCTTCAACTCCCAGAATTCCCCAGCCAGCCATGCTGGGTTGTAGCCCACACATGTTGAAGTGTTGAAGGACATGGGATGAGACGGGATGAGTTTCAGGAGATTATGCAGGAACATTGGTTTTGTGAAAAGACAAGAATTATAATGACCTTGGAGAACTGTGCCTTTTTATACAATTCTCTGTTAAATGTGGTTATCCACTTGCTGTCCTATGCAGTATGGTGAATTTGAGGTTATCATGACATCTATGATGCTTTGGTGTCTTTTAGCAACCTTTTCACCCATTGTGCCACTTTTAGGATATGGCAATATCCGAGTACCACCAGTCACCTAGCAAGGTGTCAAAAACCTGATGACCAAAAAAAATTGCTTCATTCCAGCTGATTGGCGCTTTTTCTGGGCTCAGCAGAAGCGCCAGGATCAGTGCCGAGCTCCAGCTGCAGCCGGGCGCTGATCCTGGCACTTCCACTGAGCCCTGACAGTCCCGAAGAAGCACTGATCCTGGCGCTTCCGCTGAGCCCTGACAGCCCTGCAGCTCCAGCCGTCTCTCGCTCAGGCTTGTGCGGTGCTGCCACCGGTTCAGCTCATTCCCCTCCCCCGCTACCACTTTTCTAGTATGGTCGCGTACCACCTGCCAGGTGCCAATGTACCACAGGTGTACCAAAGGTTGAAAAGTCCTGCTTTAGAGGTTTGTGAGTGTCTGAATGCACATCTGCATATTGCTTGGAAAAATGTTCCCAGCTTAAGCAACTGAACCAAATTGTACAGATTTTTGTTTGTGTGTTTGTTTAGTAAAATGTTTGGTGTGCTTTTCCAGGGAGAGACACTTTGGATGAGTGTGGCCTGAGGTACTTATTAGCCATGCGCTTGCACACCTGCCTCCTAACATCCCTTCCACCTTTATATCGTGTCCAGTTACTTCATCAAGGTAATATTCTTTGAGTACAACACAAGGAATAAATAAGAAAAATATGAATGTATTATTTCTGTACTTTTAAAAAAAAAAAACTTTAATAAAAATCTTGCTTCTATATACTTTTTTTTTAAAAAAATCTTTTTTAAAAAAACATTTAAAATATAATGACCAAATGGAAACAGATTTCTTTCGGTCCTTCTACAGGGGTTTCGACGTGCCACTTTGCTTGGGCTTTTCATTCGGAAGCAGAGGAAGAACTGATCAACATGATCCCTGCCATTCAAAGAGGAGATCCCCAGTGGTCTGAGTTAAGAGCCATGGGGATAGGCTGGTGGGTCAGGAATATCAACACGCTTCGACGGTGCATGGAAAAGGTAATTGGAGCTACTATATAGAGCCAGCTATAATGGTTAGGGCACCAAGTTAGAAACCAGGAGACTGGGAGTTCTAGTGCCACCTTAGGCATGAAAGCCAACTGAGTGACCTTGGGCAAATCACCAGGAGACTAAGAGTTCTAGTCCCACCTTAGGCATGAAAGCCAGTTGAGTGACTTTGGGCCAGTCTCCAGGAGTCTGGGATTTCTAGTTCCACCTTAGCCCTGAAAACTGGCTGGGTGACTTGGGCCAATCCCTGGGAGACTGAGAGTTCTAGTCCTGCTTTAGACAAGAGAGCCAACTGAATGACTTTGAGCCAATCACCGGGAGTCTGGGATTTCTAGTCTCGCTTTAGACATGAAAGCCAGCAGGGTGACCTTGGGCCAGACCAACCCATCTCATAGGGATATTTCATTATTCTTCCATCCTACGATAACCTTGCCGCAATCATCATACACATAATCCCTGGACTGATATCAACTACCTATTCGTGCATTGTTTTCCTGGAGGAGATAGAATCAGAGTGCTTTTCCCACATCCGTAAGTTGTACAGTGGTGTCCTGCCCTGAGTGACCCTGTGTGTCGATGACCCTTCTGTTAAATACAACAGGTTGCCAAAGCCGCCTTCCAGAGGAACAACGATGCACTGGACGCTGCTCTTTTTTATCTCGCAATGAAGAAAAAAGCCGTGGTCTGGGGACTATTTCGGTAAGTATAACGAGGAAATTGGTCCAGGGCCTGGCATGGTTTACAAGAGGCTTCTGCAGAATTATGAAAACTTGCGCTTTGGGATGCTAGCAGCAGCGTAATCCAGGGTATGCAGATGTAACTCCAGTTCAGTAGCGTCAAAGGGACCTATTGTCTTGGCTCAAAATGCAGTGCAATCTCTTTTCACACAGTTCCCAGCACGATAAGAAAATGACCCAGTTCTTCAGCCATAATTTCAGTGAAGACAGATGGCGCAAAGCTGCCCTGAAGAATGCCTTTGCCCTTCTGGGGAAGCAGCGCTTTGAGCAGTCGGCAGCTTTTTTCTTACTAGCGGGATCATTAAAGGATGCCATCGAGGTATGGATTCCGAGCCACAGTGTTTCTCTCAGAGGGAGGTAGGATGGGTGGATAGATGGAGAGACATGTTGATTTGTAGATGGATGAATGGCCAGACAGGTGGATACGTGCATGGATGGGTGGATGGATGGACAAACAGATAGTTGCGTAGATGGAAGGACAGATAGATAGGTGTATTGATGGACTGGTGGATGGATGAGCAAGTGTGTGGATGGACTGACAGACAGATGGGTGGTTGGCTGCATGAATGGACAGAAACTGATAAGTATATTCATGGATGGACAGATGGGCTGGTGGGAGATTGTGTGGATGCATGAATACATGGATAGGTGTGTTGGTGGATTGATGGACAGATGGGACATTTTGTCAGTGGACTGATGAATGGATGGATGGATGAATGGATGGATGGATGGATGAATGAATGAATGAATGAATGAATGGGTGAGTGTTGAACAGACGGACAGATGTGTAGGTGGATGGAAGGTTGGATGGATGGGTACATCAATGGACAAACAGATGTGTGGGTAAGTAGGTAGAAGGATGGACAGATGGATGTGTTGATGGACTGATGGGTGGGTAGTTGTGTTGATGGATGGATGGACAGGTCAGTGCATTGTATGGATGGACAGACAGATGGATTGGAGAGTGTGTTAGTGGACCATCAAGTGGAGAATTTCTTTTCTTTATCTCTGCCCTTAGTTTAATGTCGGCTTGTGTGTTATAATTTTGCTTTATGATAGGAGACCTTGTTTGTGCTTCCCTTCCCACCCACAGGTATGTCTTGAGAAGATGGAAGACATCCAGCTGGCTTTAATAATTGCTCGCTTGTATGAGTCTGAGTTTGAAATCTCCTCCACCTACACAGCCATCCTTTATGAAAAGATTTTGGGCTGTAAGAAAGATGGAACCGGATTCTGTTGCACAAAATTGCATCCAGATCCTTTCCTGAGAAGTCTGGCCTACTGGGTAATGAAAGAGTGCACAAGAGCCCTTGACACCTTGCTGGAACAAACCCCCAAAGAAGAAGATGAAATTCCAGGTGAAGGAATGTCAGATTATTTGGAGAAACTCAGTCTTGAATGGGGAATGTAGAAAGGTAGATTTGTGGGGTCTTTGGTGCTCTCTTGGGTTGTTTTCTTGCAGACATTTCATTACCCAACTAAGTAACATCATCAGAGCAACCAAGCTCAGACAGAGAGCAACAAGGACTCTCCACAGTTGAATCCTGAGCTACAGATATTCTCTTCTAAAGATGCATTTGTTGTACAAGATGCTGGTAGTCAAGTTGTATGTTTATAAACATACTTGATGTGGTTAGCTTGGCTAGTACTTTGTACAAACTCACTTAGATTTATGTAATTATGGGTCACTTCAGAGAAGATTGTTGGGGATCTTCCTAACTTTACAGAACGGGTTCATTCATAAATGGCTTCAGAAAAATGCCTCTTAATCAACATCTAGATTAATTTGGGCGAAGACTTACAGATCCGCAGCCTTGCAAGATCTACCAGAACTGCAAGATTGTGTAATTAACCAACTAGCCCCCCATCTGCCATAGATCATGTAGAGATCTTGTAGCAGGTTCAAAGCCACCAAATAACGTTCTGTGAAGATTCTCAACCATCCAAGTCATGGCTGTCCCAAAGATGCTTTTTCCAAAAGGCAACTGGACTTTCTTGTAGTTTTTCCTGGAAAACATTTTGCTTCTCATCCAAGAAGCTTCTTTATTCTGACTGATTTCTATTCCCCACCAGTCAGTTAGAACTGAAGAAGCTTCTTGGATGAAAAGCGAAACGTTTTCAAAGGAGAAAAAATATTTTTTTTTTAAAAAAAAAAACTAGACTGTCCAGATGTCTTTTGGAAAAAAAGCATCTTTGGGACTACCAAATAACATTGCCTGTTCTTTGGTCTCCAAGGGGCCGCTAGGCTGCTAAATTTGGTGTGACAGATGTTCAGTGTAAGCTTCAACAACCTTGTTTCCATTTTCCCTAGTTATTGTCAAATCCTGCAACCCCGTGGTGTTCAGTTTCTATAACTATCTGCGTACCCACCCCTTGCTCATCCGAAGGAATTTCTGCTCGCCCGATGGGACATTAGCAACGTTGGGATTGCAGGCAGAGAAAAGTTTTGTGGACAAGATTAACCTCATTGAACGAAAACTCTTCTTCACCACTGCAAATGCTCATTTTAAAGTCGGCTGCCCTGTCTTAGCCCTGGAAGTGCTTTCAAAGCTTCCCAAAATAAGGAGCAGGTCCACACTTTCACCCAAGAAAGGGGAATCCACACCAGTAATGCAGAATGGTCTGGAAGTAGACAAAGGCAGCACAGTAGATTGGTCACAGCCAGTGGGCACCACGGAGGCTCCCTCCCTAATTGACTGGAGCAAACCAATGATAACATTTGAAGACGAACCTCTGAAACTTGACTGGGGGAATGACCAAAGCAGTTTGCTTGAGGAGGAAGAGGAGAAAGGTTTGATGATGAATGACCTGGAAAGTAAAGAACAAGAGGTCCCAAGTCCTGATCCCAGTCAAGGCAAGGAAGGTGAGGTCGACAAAATGGAGGTCGATGTGATCGCCGAACAACTCAAGTTCCGCGCCTGCCTAAAGATCCTCATGACGGAGTTGAGAACGTTGGCCACCGGCTACGAAGTAGATGGCGGGAAGCTCCGGTTCCAGCTGTACAACTGGCTGGAGAAAGAAATTGCCGCCTTACATGAAATTTGCAACCACGAGGCAACCCAGGGCAAAGATGACGGCCAAACCGATGGCCAAGTCAGCGGGGATCTCTTGGGTCACCAAGAGATGGGGGAGATGACACCGATGGGCTCCTACGAGTGGCATCAGATCGAGCGGCGACGGTTGCAAGCCAAGCGAGAACACGCCGAGCGGCGGAAATGGTGGCTCCAAAGAAACCAGGCGCTTCTCCGGGTTTTTCTAAGTTATTGCAGCCTTCACGGGGCACAGGGAGGCGGCCTGGCTTCCGTAAGAATGGAGTTGAAGTTCTTGCTACAGGAGTCTCAGCAGGTAAGAAGGTTCACCTGGGAAGGTAGCATCCTCACTCCATTTCTGCAGTGGTTCCCCTTATCCAAGTAGTCCTCGGTTTACATCTATTTGTTTAGTGATCATTCAAAGTTAAAACAGCACTGAAAAAGGGACTTAGGACCATTTTTCACATTAAGACCATTGCAGCATCCCCATGGTCACGTGATCAAAATCTGGACGCTCAACAACTAACTCATATTTGTGATGGTTGCAGCATCCACGGGTCACGTGATCCCCTTTTGCAACTTTCTGACTCTTGTGATTCCGTGCCAGCTGTGATCCTGGTAGTTGAGTCTGGGGAATCAGAGGAGGAGGAGGAGGAGGAGGGGCCTGGAGAGCCATCAGAGTTGGAGGGAGGCTCTGATGAGCTGCAGGACTTACAAACTAATGAAGAGGCTGGTCCTTCCACTCATGATCAAGCTGAGAGCCAGCTGTGCTGGAAAGCTGGTCGGACTCGGAGGAAGCACAGCTGGAAGACCTCAGAGATGCTTGTAAACGTAGGCAGGTCACACGAGTAGGACAGAGGGAGGCAGTGAGGCAACTCCAGGGGAGGAGGAGAAAGCAGTGAGAAGCCACACCTTGGGGGCTGTGTAACAAAAAGGGAATGTGTGGGCAGGGCTGGTTGCTGGAGGCAACCGTTTGCAAAGAATTTCAGAGTCAAGAGATCATGGTCTGTTTATTTTGCCTGTGAGTTATTTCCTGTTTGAATTTGCTTTTGGACAAGGTCTCTGTTGGAAAAGTGTTCTGTTGCTTTTGTTTTTCTGGGACAATTTATCAGGTCTGTAACTCAAATAAAAAGGGTTTATTTTCCAGTCTACTGTTAAAAGAGGGGTTGTTTTTGTGAAGTAACAAGGACGTACGTAGTCTGGGACAGAACACTGACAAGCAAAGTCAATGGGGAAGCCATAAGACAAGGACTATCTGAAAAATCTTTGCAATAAAGCAGAAAAAATGCATTTAGGATTTGTGTTTTCAAGATTAGAAAGAACTTGTTTGATATCCCACATGTAAATTGAGGACAAAATTTCAAAGTGGAAGAGACCAAATAATGCTCGTGAAGGCATTTTTATATGTACAAATTAACTCTGACTCTTGCTGTAGATTCTATTTTCCAGTTGGATTTATGATTAAATGGATAATAGAAAACAAAGGGAAGGGGGTTTTTTTTCCGTCACCTGTAGAGTAAGAAGCTTCTTCTCTATATTTTTTTATATTCTTTCTGCACATCTGTTTTTTTCCTTTCTGGTCCTTTACTGTTTTTGCTCAATATTTGTTCGTGCTGGTTTTTATATTCTTTGGAAAACTTTTAATATTTTTTTTTTAGGAAGAAAGAGCAATGGTATATTCCCAGGTGTGCCATTTTATTTTTATTTTTTCCCCCTCCCATCAGGAAACTACTGTCAAACAGCTACAATCACCACTTCCGTTGCCCACAACATTACCCCTACTCTCAGCCAGCGTCGCTGCCACAAAAACGGTGATCGCCAATCCTGTCCTCTACTTAAACAACCACATCCACGATATCCTTTACACGATTGTCCAGATGAAAATGCCTCCCCATCCCAACGTTGAAGATGTCAAGGTAATAAAATGGGAAACGCCACCTTGACTGCAGAAAGGACAGGTTCAAAGAGGTGGACATGGAACTTCTGTCTATATGAGGTTGGATCGGATTTTCCGGATCTTTTCTGCTTGCAAAACAGGACAGGTTCTTCTGTGTATTGTTGAACTACATCTCCCACTTTCCTTATCGTTGACTACATTGGGAGGTGCTGCATGGAGTTGTAGTACAGATACTGCTGAATCATAAGCTGTTGGAAGGGATCTTGGAGGTCTTTTCATCCAACCTTCTTTCCAAAGCAAAGGTCTTCTAGTACAGATACTGCTGAATCATAAGCTGTTGGAAGGGACCTTGGAGATCTTTTCATCCAACCTTCTTTCCAAAGCAAAGGTCTTCTAGTACAGATACTGCTGAATCATAAGCTGTTGGAAGGGATCTTGGAGGTCTTTTCATCCAACCTTCTTTCCAAAGCAAAGGTCTTCTAGTACAGATACTGCTGAATCATAAGCTATTGGAAGGGATCTTGGAGGTCTTTTCATCCAACCTTCTTTCCAAAGCAAAGGTCTAGTACAGATACTGCTGAATCATAAGCTGTTGAAAGGGACCTCGGAGATATTTTCATCTTCTGCCTGAAAGCAAAGGTCCCAGACAAGTGGTTGTCCAACCTTTGCTTGAAAACCTCCAGTGATGGAGTACCCCAAACTCCACGAGGCAGGCTCTTTCATGCTCATTGGCTCCCAACGTCTTTTCATCCAATCTTTTGCCCAAAGCAAAGGTTCTGGCTGGGGAATTCTGGGAGTTGAAGTCCACAAGTCTTAAAAGTCACCAAGTTTGAAGACCCCTGTTCTACAGGCTCCAGTTTCCCAATCCTGGATTTTCCCACCTTACCTCCAAAGAAGGATGGTCTTGCAGGATCCAATCTCTAGAAAGAAGTTCCCTGAGGGATGGGCTCCAGCACAAAGTCCAAAAGCTCAGAAGACTAAACCTCTGGTCTCAGTGACCAACCCAGATTGCATCCTGCAACATTATCCTGGGACTCGTCTATTCACCTTCATTCGTAAGGATGGTCTTCTTATCTCTTCTCCCTCCTTTCCTTCACCAGAACTTTGTATGGAAGACTGAGAAAATGTTAACTGGCTTCCATTCATGCTTCAGGTCCAACATTCTGATCATTGCACCAGGCCTATTCATATATAAGGGGTGCCAGACTCTAATAAGCAGCATTGATCCTGTTGCACACTTGTACTAAGACCCCAGACCCATTTGCTTTCTTGATAGAGCACTTTTGCTTGGAAAGTCAAATATGGCAACAATTCAATATATTATATTGGGAGGGACCTTGGATATCATTTAGTCCAGCCCCCTGCTCAGGTAGCAAACCCTATACCATTTCAGACAAATGGCTGTCCAGTCTCTTCTTAAAAACTTCCAGTGTTGGAGCATTCACAGCTTCTGGAGGCAGGTTGTTCCATTGGTTAATTGTTCTAACTGTCAGGAAGTTTCCCCTTAGTTCTAGGTTGCTTCTCTCCTTGATTAGTTTCCATCCGTTGCTTCTTGTCTTGCCTTCAGGTGCTTTGGAGAATAGCTTGACTCCCTCTTCTTTGTGGCAACCCCTGAGATATTGGAACGCTGCTATCATGTCACCCCCTCGTCCTTCTCTTCATTAAACTAGACATACCCAATTCCAGCAACCGTTCCTTATATGTTTTAGCCTCCAGTCCCCTAATCATCTTTGTTGCTCTTCTCTGTACTCTTTCTAGAGTCTCAGCATCTTTTTTACATCGTGGTGACCAAAACTGGATGCAGTATTCAGCCTGGAAATGTATTCATAATATCCTAACCAGTTTTCTTCTGCTTCCATTTTTAGGTCCATACTCTGTATTCTTTAGCTGCTTCCCTTTCTGCATCAATTTATCAAGCCTTGTGTGACAGCCACAGCTACAGGTAAGATGTCCTTTGCTGTTTCTTCTCCCCAGCATGGCTCTGTTGTTCTCCTTTGTGGGACAAAACATAAGGTTGTCACAAGATGTGTCGCAATGCTAACTGTACTCACTTAGAGGCAGGATCTGATGGAAGGATAGAATCCGTTTTGGATTTTTGTTGAGCGGTAAAAAAAGATCCAGCTTGATGTAATTAGTTTCATGAATCGATTTGGTTTAAATTCAAGTTACCAAAATAGGGATCCAGAGCTTTGAAAAATATCTCTGCAGTCATATAGTGGTGTCTGCAGTTGGTAGTCAAAGTCTTCAGGATGGAAGGTGTGAGATTGTGATTCACAAGTCCTGCCCTTTGGTATGCACATTATGAAGTGGTGTGGCCGGGGTTGTGACACCACACCTTTCACCTGGCAGATTTTGACCGCCTAGTGCAGGGGTAGGCAACCTTGGCTCTTTTATGACTCGTGGACTTCATGCTGGGTCAGGAATTCTGGGACTTGAAGTCCACGAGTCATAAAAGAGCCAAGGTTGCCTACCCCTGCCCTGGACCAATTCTCTTTCATCTGCAGGTTGATTGCATGTTTGTGTGTGTGTGTGTGTGTGTGTGTGTGTGTGTGTGTGCATGGGATCTTATTAAGGCCATTCTAGAGCTTCTGGCCCATGGGTCTTTCTGCTTCAAACAGTGACATGCACCCTGCCACTAATTTGCCAATTTTGCTTTGGTGTAAAATGTTTCTATTCTGAGGTGAAGAAAAAAAATTAAAACTTCTTCTTAGCAGTCAGACAGAAACAAATCAGTTCACAGGAATGGTTTACCAAGGGCTGCTGCTGAGCGACCGTCGGCGTCTGCGGACAGAGAGCATTGAAGAACACGCCACACCGAATTCGTTGCCTGCTCAATGGCCTGGTAAGAAAAGCCATCCATGTCAACGGCTCCATGCAAGCATTGCGCCATCAGCTAGATGGTTAGATTTCTCTCCAAAAAAATAAGTATTTTGAGCTGAACTGGTAGTATTTTAAGATCAGGATTTTTCCAATAAGAACTGAATCAAGCAAGTTCTGGTTTTTTTTTTAAATGTTTGCCCACCCTTATCCTTATCATCTTGATTGTTTAAATAGCCTCCTCTAAACATTCAAACAGCTGGATCATTAATCTTTCTTCCATAAATTTACACTCCTATTTTTTTTGAGTAAGGGAAGCATGTGTTTGACTCCCTTCTTTGGAAAGGGTGAGGTTTTGAACAATGCTTTAATGATGTCCNTTTCCAAAGCAAAGGTCTTCTAGTACAGATACTGCTGAATCATAAGCTGTTGGAAGGGATCTTGGAGGTCTTTTCATCCAACCTTCTTTCCAAAGCAAAGGTCTTCTAGTACAGATACTGCTGAATCATAAGCTATTGGAAGGGATCTTGGAGGTCTTTTCATCCAACCTTCTTTCCAAAGCAAAGGTCTTCTAGTACAGATACTGCTGAATCATAAGCTATTGGAAGGGATCTTGGAGGTCTTTTCATCCAACCTTCTTTCCAAAGCAAAGGTCTTCTAGTACAGATACTGCTGAATCATAAGCTGTTGAAAGGGACCTCGGAGATCTTTTCATCTTCTGCCTGAAAGCAAAGGTCCCAGACAACTGGTTGTCCAACCTTTGCTTGAAAACCTCCAGTGATGGAGTACCCCAAACTCCACGAGGCAGGCTCTTTCATGCTCATTGGCTCCCAACGTCTTTTCATCCAATCTTTTGCCCAAAGCAAAGGTTCTGGCTGGGGAATTCTGGGAGTTGAAGTCCACAAGTCTTAAAAGTCGCCAGGTTTGAAGACCCCTATTCTACAGGCTCCAGTTTCCCAATCCTGAATTTTCCCCCCTACCTCCAAAGAAGGATGGTCTTGCAGGATCCAATCTCTAGAAAGAAGTTCCCTGAGGGATGGGCTCCAGCACAAGTCCAAAAGCTCAGAAGACTAAACCTCTGGTCTCAGTGACCAACCCAGATTGCATCCTGCAACATTATCCTGGGACTCGTCTATTCGCCTTCATTTGTAAGGATGGTCTTCTTATTTCTTCTCTCCCTCCTTTCCTTCACCAGACTTTTGTATGGAAGACTGAGAAAATGTTAACTGGCTTCCATTCATGCTTCAGGTCCAACATTCTGATCATTGCACCAGGCCTATTCATATATAAGGGGTGCCAGACTCTAATAAGCAGCATTGATCCTGTTGCACACTTGCACTAAGATCCCAGACCCATTTGCTTTCTTGATAGAGCACTTTTGCTTGGAAAGTCAAATATGGCAACAATTCAATATATTATATTGGGAGGGACCTTGGATATCATCTAGTCCAGCCCCCTGCTCAGGTAGGAAACCCTATACCATTTCAGACAAATGGCTGTCCAGTCTCTTCTTAAAAACTTCCAGTGTTGGAGCATTCACAGCTTCTGGAGGCAGGTGGTTCCACTGGTTAATTGTTCTAACGGTCAGGAAGTTTCTCCTTAGTTCTAGGTTGCTTCTCTCCTTGATTAGTTTCCATCCGTTGCTTCTTCTCCTGCCTTCAGGTGCTTTGGAGAACAGCTTGACTCCCTCTTCTTTGTGGCAACCCCTGAGATATTGGAACACTGCTCTCATGTCCCCCCTCGTCCTTCTCTTCATTAAACTAGACATACCCAATTCCAGCAACCATATGTTTTAGCCTCCAGTCCCCTAATCATCTTTGTTGCTCTTCTCTGTACTCTTTCTAGAGTCTCAACATCTTTTTTACATCGTGGTGACCAAAACCGGATGCAGTATTCAGCCTGGAAATGTATTCATAATATCCTAACCAGTTTTCTTCTGCTTCCATTTTTAGGTCCATACTCTCTATTCTTTAGCTGCTTCCCTTTCTGCATCAATTTATCAAGCCTTGTGTGACAGCCACAGCTACAGGTAAGATGTCCTTTGCTGTTTCTTCTCCCCAGCATGGCTCTGTTCTCCTTTGTGGGCCAAAACATAAGGTTGTCACAAGATGTGTTGCAATGCTAACTGTACTCACTTAGAGCTAAAGGCAGGATCTGATGGAAGGAAGGATAGAATCCGTTTTGGATTTTTGTTGAGCGGTAAAAAAAGATCCAGCTTGATGTAATTAGTTTTATGAATCGATTTGGTTTAAATTCAAGTTACCAAAATAGGGATCCGGAGCTTTGAAACATATCTCTGCAGTCATATATTGGTGTCTGCAGTTGGTAGTCAAAGTCTTCAGGATGGAAGGTGTGAGATTGTGATTCACAAGTCCTGCCCTTTGGTATGCACATTATGAAGTGGTGTGGCCAGGATTGTGACACCACATCTTTCACCTGGCAGATTTTGACCGCTTAGTGCAGGGGTAGGCAACCTTGGCTCTTTTCTGACTTGTGGACTTCAACTCCCAGAATTCCTGAGCCAGCCATGCTGAGGGGAAAGGGAGAGGTTTCCAAGCTGAGCCATGCTGACTCAGGAATTCTGGGAGTTGAAGTCCATGAGTCAGAAAAGAACCAAGGTTGCCTACCCCTGCCCTGGACCAATTCTCTTTCATCTGCAGGTTGATTGCATGTTTTTGTGTGTGTGTGTGTGTGTGTGTGTGTGTGTGTGTGTGTGCATGGGATCTTATTAAGGCCATTCTAGAGCTTCTGGCCCATGGGTCTTTCTGCTTCAAACAGTGACATGCACCCTGCCACTAATTTGCCAATTTTGCTTTGGTGTAAAATGTTTCTATTCTGAGGTGAAGAAAAAAAATTAAAACTTCTTCTTAGCAGTCAGACAGAAACAAATCAGTTCACAGGAATGGTTTACCAAGGGCTGCTGCTGAGCGACCGTCGGCGTCTGCGGACAGAGAGCATTGAAGAACACGCCACACCGAATTCGTTGCCTGCTCAATGGCCTGGTAAGAAAAGCCATCCATGTCAACGGCTCCATGCAAGCGTTGCGCCATCAGCTAGATAGTTAGATTTCTCTCCAAAAAAATAAGTATTTTGAGCTGAACTGGTAGTATTTTAAGATCAGGATTTTTCCAATAAGAACTGAATCAAGCAAGTTCTGTTTTTTTTTTAAATGTTTGCCCACCCTTATCCTTATCATCTTGATTGTTTAAATAGCCTCCTCTAAACATTCAAACAGCTGGATCATTAATCTTTCTTCCATAAATTTACACTCCTATTTTTTTTGAGTAAGGGAAGCATGTGTTTGACTCCCTTCTTTGGAAAGGGTGAGGTTTTGAACAATGCTTTAATGATGTCC